TTCAGTTTTGGCCACCGAACACCCTAGGGCCTCATCTGAATTTTTAAATGTTACTTTTTTTTAAAGATTTTATTTATTTATTTATTTGACAGACCACAAGAGAGGGAACACAAGCAGGGGGAGTGACAGAGGGAGAAGCAGGCTTCCTGCTGAGCAGGTAGCGGGATGTGGGGCTTGATCCCAGAACCCTGGGATCATGACCTGAGCCGAAGGTAGACACTTAACCAACTGAGCCACCCTGGTGCCCCTTAAATATTACTTTTGAACCAAAATACATTCTGGGAGTTTAAAAATATTTTTAAAATAAAAAGTAACAGAACCTCGATACCATCCCTGACCCCTTCTGCCCGTTCTCATCTTTATTCCCACCACCAATTTGTTTGTCTCTCTGAAATTCATTTATATGAATAGAAGCTAACAAGAATATATCCCAACCTACCTTATTTCTACAGAAAAAGTGGCAGAGTGCCATTATGGACAGTTTTAGGGAGTGAATCTTTCTCTCCACTGCCTCAGGCCACCACTGCCAGCAAGCCCAAGGCTGGAGAGCCAATCAATAAGCACTTGTTAGGGGAGGGAAAAGCCAGACTGAATGGACAAGCTGCTCTCTGGGGCCAGTCCAGGGTGCGAGAAGCAAGTGCTTGCGGACAGACATCTGTGCACAGGCATCAGTAGCGAGGCGGTCCCATCCACCCGGTGTGGCAGGTGTCGGAAACAGGTGCATCCTGGCGCCTGAGGAGACGCCAGACACTTCCAGGGGCGGCAATGGCCTCACCCTTGGCAGCTTCCTTGGTGGCCAATACCAGCACCTGTCTCCTGGGTCACCAAAGACACAGCACCCCCAGGATGAAGGGGGCAGAGGACTTTGCTGCTCTGTTAAAACAAAGTCACGTGCAGAGAATTTAAGAACAAAAAAACGGGAGGATACTCCTCTTCGGCTGCTCCGGCCTCACACCACTTGGCGGATCATTCTAGAAACTCTGCAGGTGACTCTGCCCCATCCAGCCCATGACCTGCCAGGACTTCTGGGGAAGCGCTTATAAATGGGCCGGACCCGTCTGAAAGGGAGCTCTGGGCCAGGGGCTGGAGAAGAGCTCTCTCAGGGCTCTGGCTAGCCTCCAGACAGCGCAAACATGCTGTTGGGGAAGGGGGTGTGTGCACTGCCAAGAAAGTGAACTCATATTCTTGGGAAGTATTAATTTGCTTCAATTAGAAATTCAGGCCAGCTCTGAGCAAACAGAAGTAGGTGAACTTGTTTTCCGAACCTCTGCACTGTCCTTTCTGGGCCCCTCCACCTTTGTGCAGGCCTGTCACTGAGGGCCGTCTACCCTAGCCAGCATTCCCCAACTGGCCGGTTCCAAGACGCGCACTGCTTCAACCAGACCAGGGTCCTGCTGTGGGAGGGGAAGAGAGAAGGAGAGACCATCTGGTTCCACGACGTGGGAGAAGCTTTGTCTCTGGGGCCTCAGCACCAGCCTTCTCGGTCCGGGTCATTTCCATACACAGGGCTCTTTCCTTAAACTCTTTCCTTAAGCTCTAGGTCTTGTGACCAAAACACTGTAAGAAACACCTGGGAAGGGACGCCTGGGTGGCTCAGTTGGTTAAGCGGCTGCCTTCGGCTCGGGTCATGATCCCAGCATCCTGGGATCGAGTCCCGCATCGGGCTCCTTGCTCAGCAGGGAACCTGCTTCTCCCTCTGCCTCTGCCTGCCTCTTGGCCTACTTGTGATCTCTCTCTCTCTGACAAATAAATAAATAAAATCTTAAAAAAAAAATTTTAAAAAAATTTAAAAAAAAAAGAAACACCTGGGAAAATGAGATGCTTTAAACAATGCATGGGCCCTAAGAAGGGCTCACTGAGCCATAACTATTGCGTCATTACTGTCCTCGTTACCTAGAGGTGTGCCTCTATAAATATTCCAGGGAGCTTTCAGGGCTGCCCTCACCGTCCCCTCTCATCAGTCCTGGCCCAGAGAAGGTAGTTGCTCTCCTGGGAGTAGTTTATGAGCCTCCTGCCCTGACATATGCTCTAATGGGCTCTGCAGTAGGACCTGTGTCCTATTAATCTCTGTCAACTGAGGGAATAAATAAACTCACCCATTCAGTGTACTTATGAATATGTAACGAACATGTTTCAAGACAGGAACAATGCTGACCCACACAAGGGTCAGAGAAGGCAGCACTGGGGGCTCCTAGACGGTCCAGTCGGTTAAGCGTCTGACTTCTTGCTCAGGTCATGTTCAGGGTCCTGGGATTGAGCCCCACAGCGGGCTCCCCACTTAGCATGGAGTCTGCATGTCCCTCTCCTTCTGCCCCTCCCCCAAGTCATGCACTCATTCTTTCTCTCAAATAAAATCAAAAGGAAGGACTGAAAGGAGGGAGGGAGGGAGGGAAGTAGAAAGGGAGGAAGGGGAGGCAGAACTAAGGAGTGAGCTCTAACCAATATCGAAGGCTTCTACCTCCTAGGGTCCCACATTTCCTTCCCCTTCTCAGGACCCAGGGGCTTCTCCACTGTACTTTTGCTCTTGCAGGGAAGGAGGCTGAATGACTGTCCTGGGGTGCACTGATTAGTTCCCCAACAATTTCGTCTTCTGGGGCCCCAGGGTTTGCAGAGGGCTGGCTGGGTCAAGGGTGGAATTGGGCCCCAGGAGCCCAACCCAGTCTTCTCTAGCCTACAAAACACCCCAACCCCAGGCTCTACCTTGGACTTCTCCAAAACAGCTTTCAGTGAGGCCTGACCAAGTTTTCAGAGCACATCCCTCCCCATGAACCCTAAGTCAAAGGCCTTCTAGTGGGGGAGAAAGGAGCAACCCCCAGTCCACCATAAAGAAACCATACCCTCTCCTGCTCTCTAGGTCCACACCTTCCAGACCCTCCTATGTTGACCTTGCAATGGTAATAGACAGAAATCTCAGAGAGAGGGCAGTCCTCTAAACTCAGGTATGCAAAAATGACCTTTTTCTTGGTAACTTTATCTTTGTAACGAGCCCTCATTTCCAAGCAACAGAGAAGTTGATCCAATATCATTCAAGTCAACTCAGCCTCATCGGTGATTTCAATTCCATCCATTCCAGTCTAACTTGCTCACATCCCCATTTGGGGGCTGGGCTTACACCATCCTCCTGCTGCGTTCCTGCAACAACTGGCTGCCTGCTCTCCCCTGACGTCCTTGCTCCCCAGTCACCCACAGGATCCTCTGGACCCCCTCCCTTCTCCATTCAAGACAAATCTGGGCAATTAACCTGCCAAGTGCTTCCAAAACGCCGCCTCCATGTGCTCTGGTGGCGTAGGGAGCACCTGACAGGTCACTGTCCTCTGTAATTCTAAACACGGAGCTAGGCCCAGGGCCCCTCCACCCTGAGAGCCCCAGTGTAAAGGGGAATTGTTCCTACACTGCTCCTAATGCCCTTCTCTAAAAACTCTCCCCTCTCTCCCATTGCAGAGCTCTTGATATCCTTCTATGGTCCCTTTCAAACCTCTTCCTACTGCTTAGCTCTCCGACTTAACGCCTGAAGATTAGCATCTTTTTCTCTACAGTTCAGCAGGAAGGGGTGAAAATCACCCATGAATGAATACGTCACCTAACATCTCACTGCTTCAGATACATACAGTCTATCCGGCTTGCCCATCCTGGACAAGTGGAGGATTGTGCAGGGCTGAGTGGGCTGGGCTCCCTCTCTGTGAGTGGGGCTGGGCGCAGAGGCCCAACAGAGGGGAGGCAGGGAGGCTCCGTGGTTTGTAGACTGCCCTGGCTGTGAAGTCACATGAGCCTGGACACAGCAGGGCTCCTCCCTTCACTGATGTGACCTTGAACGCATTGTTTAACTCCTCTAAGCCTATTTCCTGTAACAAGATGTCATCCCTTTCCCAGGAACCCCCATGAGTAGCAGAGATCATCACTAGGCACCCAGCTCAGTGGCCTCCGTATTAAGTGCTCAGTAGAGAAGAGCCACTCCAAAACCACCCAGCAGACTCGAACAGAGCCCACCCTCCGCATACAAGGGCGGCCTGACGAGGCTCCAAGGCTCCTTGCCCAAGCCTTCCTCCCAGGGCCTCTCTACACAAACATGTAGGCACCACTCCTGCCACATTCATTTTCAGGAGCAAAAATCAAACCCCAAGTCAGGCCAGCTCACGTCAGAGTGGGGATTTAGGCAGTTAGGACCCTTTCTGTGGCGCATTATTTGATTCAATTAGCCTAGGCCAACAAAAGAGAGAGGGAGAAGGAAAAGAAACAGGAGGGGGTCTCCTTTAGTTCACATGACCTGAAGTCCCAGGGGCGCCTGCCTGCAGGCACAGCTGGATCCAAGATCTCCAAAGACACCTCCAGGACCTGGCCTGTGTGCCCCTGATCTCTCGGCTCTGCCTCTCTCTGCACAGCTCCGCTCTCAGGAAAAGCTCTCCCCGCCCCAACCCCTCCCAAGGCCGGCAGCTCAGGGCTCACCCTCTCAGCACCCCTCACAGGGAAAGTATACCTCTCTCAGGTGCTCCAGCAACCAAACTGAGTCATGTGAGCACCCCTGAATGGATCACTGTGGCAGCAGGGACAGAGGTGACAGCATGCGGTCCACCCGACCAGGCCTCTGGGATGCAAGAGGCAGGGCTAAGAGGAGGCGACTACTCCCTCCACGGCCCAAAGTCCACACACCTACTCCCCAGACACCCCCCCATACTGAGCGCCCACTGCCAGTGGCGGAGATCCTCATTAGGGCCCCGCTGGAATGAGAAAGCGAGAACCCAGCTGGCCCAGCCATTTATTCCACAGTGATTCCCACGTCAGGTCCCCTTAACAGGCATGGCTGGCTGAGGCCTGGCGCCCATGGTTCAGGGATCCCACTTGCTCCCATCGCCTGGGGTAGAGGGGGTCTGGAGATGCGGGCTCACGGGACTGACAAGGCTTGGCCTATCCACTGAGGGAGAGCTGTGGGCGGGGCGGTTTCTGTGAGAAGCTGAGAAGAGCAGACCGCCTGAGTGACACACAGAAACACCCCCGTGGCATCTGGAAGGGAAACCATTTTATTGATACCTGAGAAAAAGTGCAGGAGAAACATTCCTACTGCCCATGTAGCCTGTCCCCTTGGGCTAGACCAGGCCAGGCGACTTCTCTCACCGCGTCTTGCGCCGTGGGCCGTCTGGGATCTCGCTGATAAACGCCCACGGCTGCAGAAGTTGGCAGCCAGACTCGGGACAGAGAGCTTCGGCAGCCATGGCTCCAAGGCCGAGGCAGGCTCAGCAGGGAAGCCTCACCGATCGAGATCCAGAGTCTCTTGGGTCACTGTCCGGAGTCCGATGGAAAACAGCTCCTCCCAGGGCTCCCGGATCCAGGCCAGCAGGGCTGTCAGCTGCTCTGGACACACAACACGAAGGGCCCAAAAACTCTCCAGCCGGGACACCTGGAGAGCAAGTGGTAGTGAGGGGAGACTCGTGGAGGATCTGCCACCCCTCCCTGCCTCAAGGCCTGCTTCCTGCCCCAGGCCTGTGTCTTCCACAGAAGACCCAGACTTCGAGCTTTTAAAGCAAAACACTTACTGAAGACCCCCACACAGAGGCTTCCATGTGTACTGTCTTGTTTCTTTAATTCACCCTGTTTTCCAGAACGTAAGGTCTAGACTCAACTCCAAGAAACTGGTTGGAGTTTGATTCCTGCATCGACCACTTGTGACCCAGGCAAACTGGTTAATGCCCCCAAGCCTCAGTTTCCCCATCTGTAACAGGCCTAACGACAGAACCTCGTCCCATGGAGTCTGGGAAGAGTAAAGGGCTGGCACCTGGGGCTCCTTCACAAGCGAACGCCAAGCAGCAGCTGGTGTGTTACTGAAGGCCTCCCGCTGACACAAGCTGGGCTCCAGGTCCTCGGGCTTCCACTGCCCACAGCAGCTGCCCTCTCTGCCTGCTGCTCCTCCAAACCCAGCGAGCCCCCCAGCTCCTCACCCCACTTCTTCGTGTGCCCTCCACCACAACTGCCCATTGCAATTCCACCCCAGCCCCCACCTCTCCCTCTCCCTCTCTCATGTGCACGCACACACCTCATCGTAGAAGACCAGCCGCAGGTCCCCTGGGGCGCTGCGATAGAGCAGCACGGAGCTCAAGCTGCTGAGGGGCCACTGCTCCCTGACATGCACAGAGGGGCCCGGCCCTGAGGGCAGGGACGTCTCAGAGGCTTCACCAGATGCTGCTGGAAGAGCGGGCTCTGCCGAAGAGCCTGCAAGGTCTTCCTCTAACAGGTACAGGGTGGACAGAGTCATCAACAGGGACACAGGGCAGGTGGCAGGGCCTGGAGGGAAAGAGACAGGGTGAGACCCAGAGTGGAAAGCCACAGAGGAGCCCAGATCCCCGGGGCGGCCTCCTGGTTCCACTCAAGAGGGATGAACCACATCATGCCAAGGTGGTCACAGAGCAGCCCCTGGAGGCCAGCTCTCCTTTTTTTCCAACTCCTGGCATCTCTAGACTCCAAAACCCCTGAGGCCAAAGGCAGAAGGAACCTGCCCCACACCCAGCCCGCTGAGAAAATCCGTGCTCTCCTCTGACAGGATGAGCAGATCCAGCCCATCTGCTCCACCTCACAGAAAGCCTAACCTCAAAGCAAAGGTCTCTGAGGGCTCAGGAAACCTGTCACCCCACTCAGAGAGGCCAGAAGACCGAGGCTGTCATTCGGATGTGCCTGTGAAAGAAGTCCCGATTCCAGAAACTGAAAATGCTACAAGGGCACAGAGGCACAATGCGGGCGCCTATCCAGGGGCCTGAGGCAAGACAGAAGACAGAAGCCTCACCTTCCACCAGGAACACCCGAAGGTAGAAGAACAGGGGAGGCTCCGAGGAAGGGTCTCTCTCCAGCAACGGCCTGAGGGGAAGGAGTGGTCAGCCCAGGGGTAGGAAATACTGAGAGAAGCAGGGAGGACGAACCCAGGCGGGGTCAGGAGGCGTGAGCATGACCACAGGCTGGCCCAGAGGCTCAGGGCCCAACCCCAGTGGGTACTTGTGGAGGGGGCCCCGGCTCCTGGAGCGGCTGTCTGGGCACCAACCGCGGCCTCAATCTCCTATCCACTCACCAGAGGCGGTGCTTTGGGGTCACCTCCTCCTCCGTGGCACGGACACTGCTCCTCCAGCTAGGGGGCAGAGCCTGTAAGACATCTGGACGGAGCCAGCCAGGGACAGGGAACCTCAGAGACTCCAGCTCTTCCATCCCAACCTCTCCACCTCTCAAGACCTTCCTGATTTCAAATTCTAGATTCCAGATACCTCTATAGGGGATGAGTCCCGCTACCTGTCCATCTCCACCGTGGCCTTGAAACGTGGGCAGCTGTGACCCCTCGGCCCCCACTCGCCCTCCCCACCACTCCCTTCCCTCTCTCCTCCCTCTCTCACCGGTGAGTTCATCTAGAAAGGCCCGGCAACGCTTGGCATCTCGGGGCAGCAGGACACAGCTGCCCGCCCCAGCAGCCCACTCCAGCCGCAGACTCTGTCCTGCCAGCCCCAGCTCGATGCCACTCAGGTCGTGCAGGGGAACGGCCAGGGCTAGCTGTAGCCAGTGAGCTGGAGGCCCGCTGTAGGGAGGGAGGGCAAGAGCAGTGGCAAAGAGTGAGTGGCGGGAAACCCAGCGAGAGCCCTGCCCCGTCTCTGGCGGCCCCACTTGCTCACCATATCTCCCCAGTCACCTTCAACACATAAAGCCTGAGGTCAGACACCACCACAAGACACACAGACTCCCCAGCATGGCCTGCCAACACCAGTGGCACCTAAGGGGAAGAGGAAGGCAATGAGAAAGAACGGATAGGGGAGGCAGCTGCCAGGCTTAGCACAGAGTCACTATGGCCAACGCTCCCCACTACTCACACATCTAGCCTCCCCCCCACCCCGTGCCCTGGCCTGCAGGCGGGCTCAAGGGGTTTCCCTGCCTGGCATTGCACCCCCTCTGACCTGCCCTCCACACTCAGCCAGACTCCTGGCAGGACTCCAGTAGAACAAAACCAACGGCAGCTCCCCTGCCTCCGGGGCTCCTGCGGCCCTTGGGATCAAGTCCAAGCTCCCTGGCAGACACTTGAGGCTACCGGGGAACAGACCCCTGCCTGCCCCTCAGGGTCCCTGCCCCCTCCCGACCCCATCCCCTGCCGCCCCAAAGGCAACAATTTTTCCCCACTAGCTGCCCCTCCTTTAGGACCCTGACACAGGTGCTGCTTCCTTTCCCCACATCACCCCCCATCCCCTGAGAACTCATCCTTCAAGACCTGGATTAGATCTTAGATTGGCTCCCCGAGAAGCGGAGGCCCCATCACTCCAGCTGAATCCAATGCCTCAGCCTGATTCTAGCACTTTCCTAGCTTATGATCATCGGGTTTCTCACACCAAAATATAAGACAGATGGCAAGACTACTTTACTCTAAACCGTAGTGTCTTGCCAATGCCAGGTGCTCGCAAAGGGACTGATAACACCGTGTACTTGTAGTAGCGACAGAAGGCCCCACGTGAGTCAGGTGGCGGGCTGGGCAGCTTCCAGACCCCGGCACTCACGGATGCTAGCACACTCTATGAGGTAGGCATCGCCATCCCCGAAACAGAGTGCCAACGACAGGTCACTGTCCAGGACCGTGTCCACAGCCACACTGCGAGTGACCGCGGGAGCTGAAACTGGGCGCCTGACCCGGGGCTTTCAGAGCCCCTGTGCAGACACCATCGGCTGCGGGGGACACAGCAGGCACTCTGGCCAGTGAGAAGCACAGGGCAGCGCTGGGTTGGCACAGACCTTGAGGCAGCACTGGAACTCCTCCTGGGCATCGGCGAACACCTCAACATCCAGGAAGAGCCGGAGTCGGTGGTCCACAGAGCGGAGGCCACGGCGCTCAGGGGCTGGGGGCGAGCAGGGGGCCATCAGCCTGCCCAGGCTACCGCCGTGCTCTCCCACCTCCCTAAACCACCTTGGTCCTGTTTCCCCACTACTCACGGGGACTGAGGCTCCAACTGTGGCGCTCTCGGGAGACCGGCGCCTGCGACGGGGTCCCGTCAACCCTGCTGCTGTGGTCACTGTGGTCAGGAGGGTCACAGACAGGGCTGGCCATCTGCAAGGTAGCTGGCGATCGTTCGTCCTGTCTGTGCTCCCTGTCAGTGGTTCCCAGGGACCGAGCCAGGAGAACCACATGATCACTACCACAGTTTGGACACACAGCAGGAGATTCTGGAAGGATGAGCACAGTCCCTGTGAAGCCCCACACACAGCACCACAATCCCCCACTCTGTCATGCTTCCCACCCCCTCTTGGATTCACATTGGCCGACATCCCCAGTTTCCTAGGCTCCCCACCATTCCCAACACGCCCCCTCCACTTCCTGGGCAGGCCAGTTCACCAATCGCTCTCCATCCCAGTAAGGGAGGAGCAAACCCAGACCCAGGGCCCATAGTCACCTCAAACTATACCCCACCTTCTTATTTTAGGCTTTCCCAGAGAGGACCAAACTCAGCCAGACCCTGCTCTGGCCCCCTTCCACAGCCTCAGGCTATCATGTGCTCTGAAGCTCCACCAGCCTCATCTAAAAGCCCCAAATCAACAGATCAGGAAGGCAGGGTGCCAGGTATGGGTCCAATTCCAGGCTCCGTCACCTAACGGCTGTCATCTGAGCAATCCCAAGTCACCTAAGCTGAGCCTGGTTCCTCCTCTATAATAGGGAGCGCAGACAGTGCCTGTCCTATAGGGTCGTCAGGATGGGTGATGGGATCAGGTAAAGAATCCAGGTCAGGGGGGCGCCTAGATGGCTCAGTGGGTTAAGCCTCTGCCGTTGGCTCAGGTCATGATCCCAGGGTCCTGGGATCGAGCCCCGCATCAGGCTCTCTGCTCAACGGGGAGCCTGCTTCCTCTTCTCTCTCGGCCTGCCTCTCTGCCTGCTTGTGATCTCTGTCTGTCAAATAAATAAATAAAATTAAGGAAGAAAAAAAAAAAGAATCCAGGTCAGAGATCGGCAGTGAGAGAGGAAACATTCTCTGAGCAGCTGTCATGGGCATATGCTGGACCCTTTGACAGCGGAATCAAAACTCCCTTGAGGTGCGTAGGAGGCTCAGTGTTTACGCCTCTGCCTTCAGCTCAGGTCATGAACCCAGGGTCCTGGGATGAGGCCCTTGCCGGGCTCCACGCTCAGCAGGGAGTCTAACTGTCCCTCTCCCTCTGCTCCTTTCCCCACTCATGAGCCCGCTGCACTCTCTCAAATAAGTAAACTCTTAAAAAAAAAAAAAAAAAAAAAATTGGGTTCCTGAGCAGCTAACCATCTGCCTGCAGCTCAGGTCACGATTCCACCGTCCTGGGACTGAGTCAGCAGGGTCGTAGCTTCTCCCTCTGCCTGCCGCTCCCCCTGCTTGTGTTCTCTTTCTCTCTTAAGATAAAACAACAAGAATCCTGACACGCCCTGTCCAAGACCTTGCGGCTGAGGCTGGAGCAGCAGCAGCTGCCATTTACACAGAACCTCTGGTTTGTGCCAGACACTGTGCCTGGTGTCTTCCTGTGACATTTAAATCTAACAGCACAGAGGGTGAGTTCATGCTCTTCTTGCTCCAGATAAGGTAACCAAGGCTCAAATAAAAGGAGAACATAGCATACAGCAATGTCCAATAATAATGACCCACTGAAGGGACCCCAGGGGCCATACAACCCTGCGTAGTACAAAAAGGTCTCAAAGAGGATGGGGCTGTTTCCACTGCACACATTGTGTTTCTGGACCTCTGGGGAGGTTCGGGGTGGGGGACAGTGAAGGGTCCATTTTCTTAATAAATTTTAAACTCCTGTTCCAGCTGCTGCGAGGAAGACAAAGTGGCTAATAAAAGTCATGCATTTCGGGGCACCTGGGTGGCTCAGTCGGTTAAACATCTGCCTTCGGCTCAGGTCATGATCCCAGGGTCCTGGGATTGGGTCCCGCATCGGGCTCCCTGCTTGGCAGAGAGCCTGCTTCTCCCTCTCCCTCTGCCTGCCGCTCCCCCTGCTTATGCTCTCTCTCCCCCTCTCGGTATCTATCTATGGATCGATTGATTGATAGATACATATTTTTTAAAAAATCATGCATTTCAATAAAAATGCTATCAAGGATATCTCTTTTCCTTTTAAAGTCCTTAAAGAAAAAAAAATTTTAAGATTTTTTAAAATCTGTAAAAAAAATTCTGACTGATCTGCAGTGGAAAAAATACAGAACAGGGTGTGAAGAGATCCCATGAGGCACCACTTGATCTCAAGTAGCTCACAAGGTCAGTCAAGGCAGGACAACCTCAGCCAACTCACAAAGCACCTTACTCAACAGCCAAACATGCTCAGAGGACAGCACTACACCCAGTACTGCAGTGAGGGTTAAGCAGCTTTTATGGAGTTTCCAAGTATTAACCAAAAAAGCAGAAAAAGCCCGCAAGTTATGAAAAAATAATGAGTATGTTTCAAGAATTACAGAGATTGTATTTCCTGACTTCTAAAGAGAATAAAAAGAGGATCTAATTTCTTCTTTTGCTCCTTGTCATTTTTTTTTTTTTGTAAATGTACCAGACAGTTTTATTTTCCTTCCAGACAGAAGAGTTGGTCCCCACTTCTTCCTTCCCTGGGTTCCCACTTTATATTCCCTCCCTCAAAGCCAACATCTCTGAAATGGTGGGAGTCCCATGGGCAGGAAGGTCAAGGGCAAGACGTGTACCTGTCTTTTGGAACAGAGGCCTCCAGCCTTCCTCACTGTCTAACAACCTGGGCTCCTCTGGCTTGAACTCATGGCCACAGCGTAGACACTGGAGTCTGCCCCCCAGCAGGTCTCTCACTTCCCCAAGCTCACGCTGAGCCGCGGTGGCTGCTGGGGTCAGCACAGCAAGCAGCTCCTGAAACAGGGCGGGCCAGAAGCAGCTGTGAGCAGTGGACCCTAGCCCTCTGCCTTTCAGGCCACCCCCAGTCTCCTGAGCCTCACTCCAGGCCCCGTTACCTGGAGAGCTGCATGGGCATCGGGCTCTAGCACCACATAGCGGCGCAGCTGCCGGTCACGGCAAATGTAGGAGAAACGCAGAACAAGGACAGGGGCCCTGGGGAGCGGATCTGAGCCCTGTGCACAAAGTGGGGAACCGGGTAGAAAAAAGGAGGAAGGGAAAAAATGTTCATCACTAGCCATCAGGGAAATTGAAATCAAAACCACGTTGAGATACCACCTTACACCAGTTAGAATGGCAAAAATTAACAAGGCAGGAAAAAACAAATGTTGGAGAGGATGTGGAGAAAGGAAAACTCTTACACTGTCGGTGGGAATGCAAGTTGGTGCAGCCACTTTGGAAAACAGTGTGGAGATTCCTCAAAAAATTAAAAATAGAGTTACCCTATGACCCAGCAATTGCACTACTGGGTATTTACCCCAAAAATACAGATGTAGTGAAAAGAAGGGCCATATGCACCCCAGCGTTCACAGCAGAAATGTTGACAATGGCCAAACTGTGGAAAGAGCTGAGATGCCATTCAACAGATGAATGGATAAAGAAGATATGGTCCATATATACAATGGAGTATTACGCAGCCCTCAGAAAGGATGAATACCCAACTTTTATATCAACATGGACGGGACTGGAAAAGATTATGCTGAGTGAAATAAGTCAAGCAGAGAGAGTCAATTATCATATGGTTTCGCTTACTTGTGGAGCATAAGGAATAACATGGAGGACACTGGAAGAAGGAAAGGAAAAGTGAATTGGGGGAAATCAGAGGGGGAGATGAACCAAGAGAGACTGTGGACTCCGAGAAACAAACCGAGGGTTTTGGGGGCGGGGGCACTGGGTGAGCCTGGTGGCAGGTATGAAGGAGGCCACCGATTACATGGAGCCCTGGGTGTGGTGCATAAACAATGAACCCTGGAACACTGCGTCAAAAACTAACGAGGTACTGCATGGTGACTAACATAACACAATAAAAACTAAAAAAAAAAAAAAAAAGAAGAGCAGAAATAAAAGAGTTTTAAAAAAAGGAGGGAGGAGATGAAGAGATCTGGAAACCGCAGCTCTGGATGTCACGGAAACACTCTTGCTCACACCCACACTAGCTCAGCAGCCCCGCTCCTCAGCCCAGCCTTCCAAACTGTCTGGGACCTCGCCTTCGCCCCCCGCAGCTCCCCTGCTCTGCTCCAGGTGCCAGCCAGAGACTGTGGGAAACTCACAACCCAGTGCCCGGCACCCAACAGCCATCTGTCAAGGGGGCTCCAGCGACAGCGACAACTCCAGCCCCGCTTCCAGGACCCCCAGCGCTGGCACTCACCTCGAGTGCTGCCTCACTCTCGGGCTCCACCTCGGCTGCCTCTAGGCTCTGGAGCTCAAGCCGAGCCAGGGTCCGAGCGGCTTGGAGCTCCACCTCAAACAGGTGGCTGGAAGTGACCCGGAGAAAGCACTCCCTACCGCGCACGCCCTGGGGCCCCTCCAGGGGACACACCAACATGGGGCGACACAGTTCGGCTGAGGAGAGACCAGGAGAACAACCCTGTAAGAAGGGAGAGGTATCCCTGACTCCGCCCTCCTGTGGGGTGGCCCTCCATCCAGAAGGGATCAGCCGCCCCAAGTCCGAGTTTGCCCAGCTCTCCCAGACACACCCACCAGCACCTGCAGGGGTGCTGAATGAGCGCTCACTGCTCACCTTCCACTTCGCCCTCCTCCTGCTCCTCCTCTTCCTCCTCTCCTTCTTCCTCTTTTCCCTGCTCCTCCACCTCCTCTTCCTCCTGGGGCTCCGGCAGGAGCCCGACCTCTGCCATTCCCTGCGGTGACTCCTTCTCTGGGGCCGGAGGGCCAGGCACAGACCCTGGGCTCAGGGGCAGTGTGCTGAGGGCAGGGGTGCTGGGGGTAGCCAGAACGGGGGTACTGGAGGTCTCCAGGTGATTCCTATACTGCAGCCAGTCACAGCCAAACCGTTCCCGGAAGCTATTCATGAGTTCGAGTTCCCGATGCTGCTGCACAAACCGCCCTGGGCCAGTGGGGGGGGTGCACCGCTTAGCAAGCCTGCACCCTCACCACGACCCCCCAACGACCCCAGCCTCTTCTGCAACTGCTCCTTGGGGTGAAGTCAGAGGGCATGTGATGTGATGGGTGCTGGGGATCAGAGGGAGGCTCAAGGCTTCCCTTCAGCAGCACGTCCCAAAGCGTGTCCTCTGGAGCCCTGTGCTCATGAGCAAGTCAGAAGCACGCAGCATATGCTGCTGGGAAGCCTTGAGACACACGGGAGTGTGCTGGAGGTCCTGAGATATCCTGCAGGGAGGACACCTACTAACTCTGGTCAGCCCAGCCTTTCCCATGCAATCTTTTCAGCAAGTGACCTTTCAACATCCCATACAATTCAAATTCTTGGAAAAACACTTTGGAAAATACTGCCCGGGGTCTCTTTCTTCCTTAAACTAGAAAGGAGGAGGAAAGCCTAAGAGACCCTCTGCAATGCTCTGCTCCAGCTCCAACAGAATCCCTCCTACCAACAGACTGGGGCGGGAGCCTTAAGACAAGACTAGGGCAGGGCGCCTGGGTGGCTCAGTCCTTAAGTGTCTGCCTTCCACTCAGAACATGATCCTGGGGTCCTAGGATCGAGCCCCCCACATTAAGCTCCCCGCTCACCAGGAAGCCTGCTTCTCCCTCTCCCACTCCCCCTGCTTGTGTTCCCTCTTTTGCTGTATCTCTCTCTGTCAAATACATAAAATCTAAAAAAAAAAAAAAAAAAAAAGACGTGATTAGGGCAAGGGCAGCTGGGGCCGCCACTGACTTACCAGCCGGGGAGGGGTCCAGAGTCCGGGGCTCTGGGTCGGTATCACTGGGTTCCGAGATGCTTGCTCGCCTCACACGGACTCGGCTCTGAAGGCGGACGCAGGACGGATGCTCCAGAACTGGGCCACCCGCCCCACTGTCTATGGCCACATACCCAACTTTACTCAGAAAGCCCCACCCACAAGCAAGGATGAGGCCTTTCTATTCCCAGCCCATCCACAACCCAGAGCCCCCAAAAACGGACCTGAGCCCAGGCACAAGGGGGTCCAGGACACTCTTTACCTTAACCTTCCGGGGCAGATGCTGGGCTACCACACCCCCTGAGGAGATGCTGTCACTCAAGTCAGGGCCACCTGAGGTTTCAACAGTACTCCCTGCTGACCAGGGCACAGGTGGGGCAGAGGAGCCAAGCCCCGAGGAGGTAGAGGTCTGGCAAGTGACAACAGGAAGGAGAGCAGGGCTGGAGCCAGAGCTGCACCTCTGCCCACCGGGCTAGCTGAGGGAGGGGCCCTACTCTGTAGCTGCCCAGAGAGACCCCCACCCTCACACCCCGTCATGTCCTCCCAAATCAGTCCTGGATGGCCTACTCCCAGTGCTCCCAGCACACTAACCTGCAAGTCGGTCAGTGACAAGACTTTCCCATCAAGAAGGAACTGGGCAAAGATAAAAGGGAAGGGGCCGAGTCGGTGGCTGAGTACCTGCCCGCCCACCCAGGGGGCCCCTCTCTGCCCCACAGGCACCAGCGGGAGGGAGCCGCCGAACAAGCATGGGGTCCCGGGCTATGGCCCCTCCCCCAGGGCTGGGGTTGGGGGGGTGGAGGAGGGGGCAGGGGGCAGGACAGGCAGGACAAGGAAGGACAGGCAGGACAAGGAAGGCAGAGCGGACAGGAGAAGACAGCTCACGCCGGCCGCAGCGTCCCTGGCACGGGGTGACAAGTACTGGGCAGTGGCCGCTCGATGCGCGGGGTGGAACCACAGAGGGTTCCCCTCCAGGTAGAGCTGAAGGGCAGAAGAGGAGACTGAGATGGGCCATGAGGAAGGGCACTCACCAAATCAGCCTGGGAGGCAGGGAGAGGTCCCAAGCTGGCTCCCGGGTCCCGGAAGGTCCTGGAAGCGATCGGGACTCACCTTGCGGAGCTCAGCCAGCAGCCACAGAGGCATCAGCTCCCTGTGGCCTTCCAGCAGGTTGTACGCCACATCCAGGTGCCGCAAGCTCCTCAGCTGCTCCAGGCCTAGGGTGGAGGTGAGCAGTAAGGGCATGGGAGGGGGGCGGTGATGACGGAGGGTGGAGCAGAAAGACCAGCCGGGGCACCTCTGACCTACCCGCAGGCCCACCTGAGGCTCTGGAGGCATGAGGGTCCCAGGCTGAGTCTCACACTGCCCCTCTATCCCTTCACACTCGCCCCACCCTCTCCTACTCCCTGGCCCCCCGCCTCCTTCCCCAAACTACCCACTCACCCTGCAGGCTCCGGAGCTCATTGCCTCGCAGTATCAGGGTCCCCAGAGCAGCACCCGAGGGTCCCATTCTTGGCACCAAATGCAGGTGGTTATAGGAGATGTCCAGGTGGTAGAGCTCCGACAAGTCCTGAGAGGGGGTGGTGACAAAGATTTTCTCCTTGACCAGACTCGAGCCGGGCTTCTCTAAGCCTTCTTTTCAAGTAGGCCTCAACTTTGGCCTAAAAAGACTACATACTCTCTGCACAAATGAGTTCATCCCATCTTCCAGCCCCCCAAAGTCAACAGAGTTAAACAAATCCTAGAATAGTTCCTAATAGCTCAGGGTCATATCCTTGGGAGGACAACTCCAGCCCCTTACCTTCCCTCCTAGAATAACCCAGGCTGCCAGGAGAATTTAGTTTGTTCCAGCCAACAGCTGAAGACAGAGCCCCTGTCTCCCAGCCTCTGTGGGAAGGTAGGAGGCTAACTCTGGAAAGCGCCAGTTAGCAAACCCAGATGGATTTCATATGGACCAACACCCCCTTCCTGCTTTTTATAAATTTCCACTTCCTTGACTCCATAGGAAACGGAGTAGTTCTGTGAAGGAGAGAACCTGCTTAAGCCCCTGCCTTCTCACACCCACTCCCTCACTCTGCCTTTAAAACATCCAGCAATCTCTGCACAAATCAAATCTGAGATTCATTCATCCTAGTTTATTACAAATTAAAATGGCTTTACTACTGATTACATACCATGATGCCTTATTACTACTGCACTAGCGTGTGACTAAAATCTGTTCTCACCACAGTAACTGTTGTCCAGCCTTGTCTCTGAGAGAGAGATCTGGGAGAAGGTTCCTCACCATCATCCCCAAGCTACCTTCCCTGAGCTAGACGCCGGGCTAAGTAATGTGACACAATCTCCATGACCACTCTAATACTATAAGAGCAGCTACTCCTAGCTAGGATTCCTGCTTGACAAGTGAAGACGGCCCTAGTTTAGTTTGCCCCAAGTCACACAAGGATTAGGAGTTGAGATTTGAATGTTGGCTTCTCTTATGCTCCTGCCTGAGTCCCCAAGGAGTATGGCTTCCAGGATGTAGCCCCACCTGGGAGAGGGTGAGGGACAGGAGTAAGGTGGGAGCAAAACCAGGTCCAGGAGAGAGGTTCAGAGTGGAATGATCAGAGCCCCAGGTGGGGCCAGCCCCAAGCAGCCTGCTCACACTCACCATCAGGAAGCCCTCGCAGTCGTGGACTTGATTGTGGCTCAGATTCAGGAAGCGCAGAGCTGACAAGAGACGCTGGGGCGGGTGGGGGGAGGGTGGGCAGCAGACAATCAGATACCTCCAATTAGCCAGCTGGCCCTCCCCGCTAAGGGCCTCCTCTGTCTTTCCCCAAACCCCCTTCCCTCTGAGGCACTCACCAGGGAGCTGTCTAAGGAAGTCAGTGCATTGTAGCTGAAGTTGGCAGACAGCAGAGCCAGCCAGGGCAGGGCAGAGCACAGGTCACCACCGCAGGCGGAGAGGAGCTCCTGAGATAGGGTGCTCCATTACCTCCACTATCCCCTCCTCCCCATTCCAAGCCATTGTCCTCCAGCCATTCATTCATTCTTTACATACAAAACTTGGCCTGCAGAGACAGACGGAAAGCAAGCCCAGGGCCCTGCCCCCAGGAGTCTGTTGTGGGGCAAACTGGGAGATGGACTCGAGAATACTGAATATAAGATGGTAAGTGTGACCATAAATATACAGACAGGTACACACCACTCCGGCAGCGCCAAAGAGGGGGCAAGAACACTGTCCAAAGGGACGCAGGAAGCAGGGAAGGCTGCAGAGAAGAGGGAACGGCAGAGTGTGGTCCTCTATGTCCCTAAGAATGGGAATCTGGGCCCAGCCCTCATTCTCCTTACCTCCAGGGCCTGGATGCTCCTGCTGCAAATCAGGGTCTCTAGCTGGGAGTAGATGCCACAGAGGCCACGGAGGCAATGAAGAGGGACACCTCGGAGCTGAGGGAGAGGGAGAAAGAGAGGAGAGAGGGAGGGAGACAGACAGAATTTCACAAAAGACAGAGGTTTCACCTCACTTCCTCCTTTTACGGGGAGGGAAAAGATGACAAAGCCAACCATGGTTGAAGGCAGCGTTAAATGAAAGAGAAGATGCGGTGTTACTGCAGAGCAGTGGACACACTCAGGCCTGGCCCACCCACCAAAGGGGGACCCTTCTTCCCATTCCCAAAACGTTGTCTCAAACAGGGCTTTGCATGCCGGCATCCCCCAATACTCCATACCTCCAGCTGCCGAAGGGACTTGAAGGGAAAAATCTTGATGGGCCCAGGGAGGGAAGAACCAGGGATGTGGACCAGCTAAAAGAAAAAACCTCATGTCACCGAGGCCACACACCTCCCTTTCCTTGGCCTCTCTACCCTCACACAGCCACACACAGCTCTCACGCCTTCCTGATCTGGGCCCTGCAGACTTCTCGTGCCCCTGCCCCTCCCCACCCCCAGCTCCTGGGCTCTTCCCACACCCTACACTGTTCCCACCGCAGGACCTTAAGGGAAAGCGTTTTCTGCAGCACATCAAAGAGGAACTGAAGCTGGAGGATGACAGGGGAGTCGGCAGGGTGAGAGGGCAGAGCCACAAAGCCTGTCTGGCCAGGGCCCCATGGCCCCAGATGCAGCTCGAATACATGGTTCAGCTGTTGCAGGGTGGTAGTCAACAAGCTCAGGGTGGAACAGCCGGACAGGACCATGTCGCCTGCAGGGAAAGGCGCAGACAATAAGGAGAACATGACAAAGGGATTTTTTTTTTTTAAGATTTTATTTATTTATTTGACAGAGAGAGATCACAAGTAGGCAGAGAGGCAGGCAGAGAGACAGGAGGAAGCAGAACCCCGCCGAGCAGAGAGCCCAATGCGGGGCTCGATCCCAGGACCCTGGGACCATGACCTGAGCCGAAGGCAGAGGCTTTAACCCACTGAGCCACCCAGGCACCCCAACAAAGGGGTCTTTCCCTTTATTCTGAGACTCTGTGACCCTGGGATACACCCACTCCAATCCATATTGTAGAGCTCCTACTGCTGGAGTCATTCTCTCTCCTCCCTGCTCATCAGTCTTCCACAGCTCCCCTCCAGCTTCACAAAAATCCTAACTCTTCAGTCTGATGATAGGAGTTTGTGTTTGCTACAGCCAACCAACTTTTTCAAATTTTCTTTCACCATCTGCTCAAGAGAGTCTGGTCTATTCAAGGTGCTGGGAATACAGTCAGCTTGGTTTACAGATTCCTCATTTTCTGACACATTCCCTTCCACTCTGCCCAGGTTGAAACCTTCCTCCTCTAGACAGGCTTCTCAGCGTGTGACACAGCTGTCCTTTTATACTATAATCACTCACTTTTACATAAAAGCTGGTTGGGCGTTTCACCTTTTTTTTTTTTTTTTTAGTAAATTCTGCACCCAACGTGGGACTCGAACCCACAACCCCAAGATCAAGACTTGCGTGTTTCACCACTGAACCAGCCAAGTGTCCCACATGTTTCATCTTTACTTCTCTGATTGCAAAAGTAATATGCACACTTACAGAAATTTTCTAACCATCCCAAAATGCATGTCGTAGAGAAAAGAACCACTTGTTATAGCACTGAAGCATTATTCACCATCCCCATGTTAAAACTGCTCTCTCTAATAAGACTGTCATCTTTGAGGACATCTTTTGATCACCTTGGTACCAATCACTGCACCTAAGAAGTATAGCTATGAGGTAGACACGGAGAAATATTTTTTTAACTTTTTTTTTTTTTAAACAAGGATAGAGTTAAAACGTGTTACAAAAATATTACAGAGAGGTACCCTACATTCTCCACCCAGTTTCCCCCAATGTTTACATTTTATGTAAATATGACACAATATCAAAGTCAGGAAACTGAAACAGTCTGTACCTGTAGTTCTCTGCTACTTGTCTAGCATTGGCGTGGATTCCTATAACCAACATCACAATCAAGATACAAAACTATGCCAGCACCATTAAAATCTCTTGCTACTTCTTATAGTCACACACAAACACACACACACACAAACACCATCATCCCTAACCCTGGAACACCCGGTCAGATTTGTGCTGAACAAACTGATAAATCCTGCAACCTTACATGAAAGATGTTCAGGTATTAGACACTAAGGCTAGATGCAGACAGGGTTCAAAGACTCTTCTCACCCTCAAAGAGCCTCCTAGTATAGAAGAGATAAAACATGTACTCAGTTAATAAAACAAGTCAGAGGGTAAAACTGCTCTAAAGAGAGATTTCACAGGCACCACCAATGCGAGTACAGACAGCAGGCAAGTGGCTCACATTAATCAGGTGGTATGTGGCAGACAACTTTTTAACCTCATTTAAACTTCATCGGAATCTCCTAAAGAGAGGCACTACTGACCACCCCTTAAAGAGATGGAAACTGGGGCTTGGAGAAGAACACTAAGTGAGCTTATATAAATGGCAGTAAGTTGTTACTTCTGTCTGATCTCAAATCAAGGCTTGCTCTACCACAACGAATGTCAACCACACATTGAACAACCAGCGTGGCTCCACCGAGCCCAGGAACTGAAAGAAGAAACTGTAGTAACAATAGCTACCAGTTTTCAGCCCTTACATAGTATGCAAACATTGTCCCAAGCCCTTCACACGGGTTAAGATTAATCCCCACAACAACAGTTTGAGTTAAGTACAATCGTTAAGCCATATTCCAAGTGAAGCTCAGAAAACTCAAACAACTTTGCCGCGTTTGAAAGAGTTGGGATTCCAATCCAAGTGCATCTGACTCCAAATCTCGTGCTTTTAACTCTACTAAGGGCTTTGCCACTAGAGCAATGATTATGCCAGTCCCAGGTCTCCAGAGATTTACAGCCAAGTAAAGATCACTTTCCTCTTAGAGCATCAGAGAACGCGTTGAGGAAGTGGTACTGGAGTTGGGTCTCGAAGGATGGCTAAGGTTTGAAATGACAAAAACAAAGGACCCTGTAAGCAAGGGCACCAAAGAATAAACTTCAGAGGAGTTAAAAAAAAAAAAAAAAAAAAAAAAAAAAAAGAATTGACGCCAAAACCCTCGTAACTTTAAACAGCTGTAACTCTATGACTTCTAAGGGGAGGAGTGTCTCTGGAAGGCAGGGCGCACCCCCACCTTGCCGCAGCCCCAGATTAACCGTGTATCCACTCACCGGAATCACGCAGCAGCCCCGCGAGCCTCCACACGAGGGAGTCCCGCTGGGCGGTCGTCATGGCCACGAGACGCTGGGGGCGGAGCCTGGGAAAAGAGGAAGCGGAAGAGCCTCAGGTGGGTTGTGGTACCAAAAGCCCAGGACGTCCGCGCAAACCGAGGACTCGCGGGGAGAAAGAAGTAAGAAACAAGGCGAGGAAGAGCGTCCTCTCGGGTACCCTTTCGAGAAGCGTAAGGCCTGGCCACCTACACTGACCTTCTGTGTGCTCCTCCCACCAGCTCTGCAGTCCGGCATCTATCAATAATGACCAGGAAGTCCCGCCCCGGAAGGAAGTGGGGTAGGCGGGACAACCGGAAAGCACGCCGGAGATGCCGAAAGCCACGCACTCAGTCGTGCTTACGTGTCCGACGGAAGCGGGGACCGATTGGAGCGGACGGGGCGGTCCCTCGGCAGTCGGGCCCGGTGGGGCCCGGACTCCAGCCCGCCATCCCTACCCCCATCACCCCCGCCCCATTTGTGGGCCTGGCTCAGCGTGGGTCTCCTGCTCGGTTCTCCAGGGCCCCTCCAGGCCTGGGAGGGAAACTTGACTTCTTGTTTGCAGACTGGGCGTGGAAGCACAGTTTGGGGAAATGGAGTTTTCTCTGTGAGGAAAGGACTCGGCCAAAGCGAACGAAGGAGAACGTGTTCGCCATGTGAAGTTTTTTGGTGTCTGCTGGAAGAGCTGGGGCTTGCCAAGATACACCTCTGGAGTTACCCTGACACTGTTACCTAATGTCCCTCCAAACTCATTGTTCTTTTTTCCTTCGCTAGTGTCAGACTCACACTGTGATTGGTAATATGTCACGTGTATCCAGGCCTTTGCTTTTTGTGTTTCCTTCCATAACCCCTGAATCTAAGAATTGTTAATGCCGGTTTGAAAATGAGAAAGCAGTTTCACAGAGGCTAGGTTACCTGCGAAGGTCGTTCAATTAGTAACCAGTTTCGTCAAGACTGCCAGTTTCCTGGCTCCCAAGTTCCCATTGTACCTTTCACCTGGCTCCCAGTCAAAAAAAAGGATGTCAACTACTGAACTAGATTAGGTAAAGAAAAAGGTCGTTTCTCCTTCCCAGCAGGCCTGGTGGTAGCCCTTTCCCAACCCATCCCTGTCCCAAGGGTCAACCCCCACCCCCATCCTGCCTGCTGCCGTGTGTCCAGGTTCTCCCTCCCACTCCTCCAGTGAAATAAAGCCCTCTACCAGGCAAAAAAAAAAAAAGTCTTTTAGCAGAATTTGATTTTCAAGGAGAGTTTTCGTTTTTGTTTTTTAATAAGTGCCTTTTCTACAGAGAGAAATCAAAATGAATCATGTGCCAGTTTAGAGTGGCAATACAGTTATCTTTATCTCAAATTGCAAAATTGGAAGGATCTTATTTTCTACAGCCAAAATATTTGAAATGGCAATTTATGTCCCTAAACCACACAGTTCAGTGTTTATGGGATACTATGTGATCTGAGCCAAAATGAAGTAAGCGGAAGCACATGGTGACCAGCAAAGCAGTAGGGGCTCAATATATTTTTGTTGAATTATTAATCCCAGAGCAGTGATGATTGTCAGTCCCTGTTTATCAGTCATCTGGAACTAGGAAGGGAGGGTTCTCCCATACAATTTCTGCCAACTCTAACCCTCAGGCAAGAAGAGACAGATTGTTTTCAAATTCCTGACATTACAGAGCTTTGAAATCCGTGTCAGGAGTCGATCCAGCCTGCAGATGCTGAGAAATGCTCCATTCACATGGATAGACCCTGTAGCCAGATTTGCTCTATATCGTCTTGCTTCCCAGAAATGTGAAGCGGGACAAAGAGAGCAGCAAAGAAAGCTATAAACTACAGAGGGAGAGGAAAATATCTACTGAAAAGCAACACAGAGAAACTAAGCAGTTCTTGTTTCCAGGCCCCCTCCTGAGGCCCACTCCCCCTTCTGCCCTCAGGCTGCAGAGGAGGCCTTGGCCAGCTTCCAAAGAATTCCTACCACCCCCCCCCCTTTTTTTTTGCCTTAGAGTATATCTCTGTAAATTGCTACCATAGGAACCTTGACTAAGCCAAAACCTTGTTTAAAAAAATTAAAGTCTGAAATGGAAAAACAAAAAACAACAACAACAAAAAATCCCATTGGCTGAAACAGAAAAAAAAAAAAAAAGAGTATATACCTGGAACATTTGGAGAAATATATGAAGAAAACCAGAGAACTTTAAAGACATAAACAATGACCTAAATAAATGAAAAGTCAACATGTTCCTGATGAGAAGATTTGATATTCTAATGATGTCAATTTAATGCAATTTCCATCAAAATCCCGATGTGGAGATTTTGGAACTTAACAAGTTGATTCTGAAATTCCTCTGGAAGACTCACATGAGCACAGCCAAAACATTT